TGAGTATGAAGAACTTCTATATAGTTGATATGTTATTGGCAAAGTTATACATGCAAGTTTACTTTCTCTGTCATAGACTTATACTCGTATATAGTATGATACATGCAAGTTTGCTTACTCTGTCATAGACCCATATATAGTATGATCCATATGATAATTTATGAACAATTTTAGTTTTCAAGTATAGTGATATTATTAAGGTTGTATGAGTGGAGTTTAAAAATCAGAAAATGAATAACATACTAACATAGGCTAGGCATTTGAGCATTTCTATTCTAGCTCAACAATCTCATTGAGCAGTTGGTGGAATAATTGGAGCTATTAAACACAACTTACCTTTATTTTGAAACATTGACTTATAGAGTTAAGTAAACTCATTGCATAAATTCATACATGAATAGAATTCATATTAATGATTTTGAAATGTTTTTAAGATTTATTTTTCTCAATTAGATTGTTATAAAGAGATTAGTTTTTGAGGCTTCATGTATAATTTGTAAAGTCCCTTTTGCATTTTAGTACTAAATTAATCATGCGTCATTATCTCAATTTTTGTTGACAAATAAAAATTTACTCATGAATACTTTTAAAATATGAATGATTAAGGATGTTTTTACTTGGACTGTAATTTGTTCCAGACCAGAACAGACCAGATCAGACCATACCAGATCAGACCAGACCAGTCCAGACCAGACCAGACTTGGGTAGTTATAAAAATACAAAGAAACCAGACAAGACCAGACCAGTTCAAACCAGACCAGACCAATTCAGACCAGACTAGACCAGCAAATTACAGTCCAAGTAAAAACATCCTAACTCCATAGAGGGTCATTTGGTGACCTTGATTACATTAAACAAGTAACTTTTGATTTCGCATGATGAATTGTGTAATAATAAGAAGCAGTAAGATTAGAGTTACTTTTCTCACTGTATTGGTTGAAGTTACTATAGAGGGTCATTTTAGCTATTTTTTATATAACTTTTTCTTTATTCTATTAAAATAAATAAATATAATTTTTTTTATAAATTAGCAAAATGAGCTAATTGAGCTACTTCAACAAGAATTTCATAAATTTCAACAGAATAAGCCAATACAGCTGATTTGGTTGTTACCAAAAAGGCTCTTAATTTTGTATGTATATCTCACTCCTGCTTGTATAGTAACTCCCTAATAAGACATTAGCCTCCACCTACATTTCGAAGTGCCAAACATAACCCTAATCATAGTGAGAAAATTTTACATAAATACGTAGTAATATATAAAACTTTGTTGAATTGTAACCGACAAAATTTTCATATTTCTTAATTGTATTTTTAAAATTATCGTAAAAAAGTATTAAAAATAAGATTTTAAAAACTGCTATACCTGTTTTAAATTTGGAATTCTTGTACAAAAGTGAATTTATAATAGTTTTTTAATACTAATAATATATCACACCGTATATGTATTACAAATAATTACTCAAACTATTATTTTTAAAATTTCAAATAAATAATTATAAATAATGGAAATTTTTATTCTCCAATTGTTACAAAAAATCAATAAATAAAAAAATGGTCTCATATGAAAGAAAATATTTGCTTTCATTTGACACCATAATTCAACATATAAAATAAAATAAAATAATGAGAGAATTCCGCCCCTTAATAGGAGTAAAAACGTTTTGAAATTCCAAAATAGGAGTATCATGTTTTTTATTCCCTGAATAGGAGTAAATTTCTGCCAAGTTTGGCATTACAAGGCTTTTAAACATGGCAATTTTTTCCAAACTTGGCAGATTACTCCTATTTAGGGAATAAAAACATGTTACTCCTATTTTGGAATTTCAAAACGTTTTTACTCCTATTTAGGGTAATTTCTATAAAATAATTTAACGCCTTTTTTATTCCAGGGGGTCTGGAGGAGGGGGTCTGTGGGAGGGGTCTGGGGGGAGCCTGGAGTAATCAGGGTTGAAAGTCTGAAACTCACTCCATTGAGTTTTAAAACATCAGGTTTTTAAAGTGCTATAACATTTTTATTTGTACTCCAACTTTCACAAAAATATATCAAATTCACACCTTGTATTATTTTTAGTGACACCAATATTGTATATAAAAAATAACACCTTAAAATAACACCTATTTTAAAATTGCTATAACTTTTATTTATTTCTCCGATTGTTACAAAAATCATATCAAAGTTTCTATATTTTTTTTTTATTTTTCATATGACACCAATGTTGCATATATAAACAAATCTATTAATTTGTGCAGTTTATGATCGTTTTGTACAATGCACAATATTAATCACAATGATAGCTTAGAATAAAACTGCACAACTTTTAGTGCTAAAAATAAATCAATAAATAAAGTGAAAAAATAATAGAAATAACCCAAACTTTGAAGGGGTGTAAGATCAAACTTGTATATGTAATTTAAATACCCCAAACTTTATATAAAAAGTTATTTTCACCCCATAGTCATGTGTTATTTCTTTCACAAATATAAACTTATGTGGTTGATTGCATAATAACCCAAACTTTGAAGGGGTGTATAAGGTAAACACCCCAAACTTGTATATGTAATTTAAATACCCCAAACTTTATTTAAAAAGTTATTTTCACACCATAGTCATGTATTATTTCTTTCACAAATATAAACTTATGTGGTTGATTGCATAATAAAAAACAACAAACTAAAAGTGTTGCAATTATATAGATTGTGGTAACATTATTTATTTTGCAATAGAAATTTAGAATGTTAATTGGGTCTTCATGAATTTTAAAATATTTAAATTATGCAATTAGCACCATATATTTACATTTTTGAAAGAAACAATAATTGACTATGAGCTAAAATAACTTTTTATATAAAGTTTGGGGTATTTAATTTACATATGTAAGTTTGGGGTGTTCATCTCACACTCTTTCAAAGTTTGAGTTATTCTAATTATTTTTCCCATAAATAATGTGATGGAGTTTGTGCAGTTTTATTCTTAGTTATCACTTCTGATTAATTGTGTGCACTGTAAAAAACGATCCTAAATTGAAAAATTAATAGAATTAATCTTTACTATTTTTATATATGCAACATTGGTATCTTATGAAAGATAATAAATAGTTTTGATTTTTTTATATAGTTTTTGTAACAATTAGAGCACAAACAAATACGGAGTATAACATTAAAAATATATATTTTATAAAGTGTTAATTTTTTTATATATTCAATATTGGTGTCATATGAAATATAATAAAAAGTTATAAATGTTGACATATTTTTTCTAACAATAAGAGTAAAAATAAAAAAAATATCACTTTAAAATAAACATGGGATTTAATTTTTTGAATCGAGTAGATTCCAATTTGAAACACGTAGCTTAGTTTTTTAAATAGATTACGTAGCATCACTTTAATCTAATTAAAATACTTTGTAACGTACGGAAGTACAATAAGTATACTAAATAAATTGGAAAGAGAATCTAAAATATTATAATGAATATTGGATTAGAAGATGACACATGACAAAACTTTTCATAATTGTATCTTTGAAACGTATTATTTATAGGTTATACATAACTTTTCTTTAATTTAGAAAGTGATTTTAAAATAATAATTGCGGAGTTGACGCATACTTTCTATAGATCGGTAATAGAGTAAATTAAAATAAGTTTATGTAATTATAGTAAAATTTCCCATTTTATTTTTCTTAGGAACAAATCAATTTTATCACGAGTCAATTAAGTCATCGGTCAACCGTTGTAAAACGACCTCTCAGCATTAATTCGTGACAATAGGTTTACTAAAAAATGATCATGAAGTAAAAAGAGCAATATACTTTTAATTTACTTGATGCTAAATGGGAAGAATTTAGCAATGTGTTTTAGCTTTAATTATCATCACTTAGCTTTAACATTCCAAAAATGTCCTATATTTCTGCGCATAAAAAGATGGATAGATTAAGTCACAAGTATTAGGCAAATATGCGAATGCTACGTCATGCTATACGGAGTACTCCTATTTATTATCTTAGGAATATAATAAATCTTCCTTATTCCACAGCAACAGCAGCTTCCTTGTGTTAGAATATATGTATATTCTACTTTCATTTCCTTTAATTATATATATAGTGGTTACCTCCCTGATCGAACAATTCGATCATAGTTCAAAGATATTATTCTCTAGAAAAGGATCGGATTTGCGGTAAATGTTAAATTAAGTAGCCATCTTTAATTTACATGCTTTGCATGTGAAGTTATTACTTTGTTTTTCCTTTTTGTTTTTTAAATTTGAGGTCGGAATGCTGTAAGGTGCATGTGGTGCAAACGTGACTTGTTAAGTTGTTCGTCATGTTTAAGTTTATTTCATGAGAAAATATTATCATACGAAATTTGACTGATCGATAAGAAAGAGATATGTATTTATAAGTGTATCATTTGGATTAATTACGTACCTACGACGTTTCTTTCTTTATGGAATTGTAATTAGACAAATTATATTTGTAGACAAAATTAGTACACAACCCCCTTAGCAGCTTGTGTACACAAATATTTCGTATGAAAAAATGCATGATTTTATGTCAAAATGTCTGTGTACATAGACAGTGTAAAATTTGTGTCCATGTTTTCATGTTTTGTGTACAACAAGAATTATCCTTGTAATGGAGGGGATTATATGATTGCATTTCTAATGCAAATTAGCAATGGTTTGAACTTCGAATAATTAACCCATTTTTTTTGGTGATTAAGGTTTTACAAGGTTTACAAGTTGGCTTGAACTAACTTTTCTTTTGAATTCTAGCTAGCTGCTTCCTCCATTAATTGAAATTAAATCAATTATATGGCACTCCATTTAGAAGGGTCAGATAGTATACCAATTGAGGCACGCGTTTATCTTAACGTGTACGATATAAAGCCGATTAATTGTTGTGTCAATTGGGTGGGAATCGGCCTCTTTCATTCCGGAGTTGAAGGTAATATAAAACCAGGCACATATATAAATCATTTCTTATACTCCCTTCGTATTCTAAAGTTTTCTTTTGTATTATTACACTTTGAATAAAAGATTTTAAAAAGGAGAGGGCAGACACAGCCAGCCCTAGTTGTGACACACATACCCCAAACCTTCTAATTAAGCACAAGTATATGTAGCTTTTCTTAATAATTTATGTTCCCTTTAATCCCATAGCATGCATTTTCTGGGGTACTATATATACATGCTTTATTAGTTTCTGTTTTATGTGTCTATAATTGTTTATTATTTGTACTCTTCTCAGTGCATGGTGTAGAGTTTGAATATGGGAATGAGGATGAAGCTAGACGGGTTAAGGAGTGGTGTGCGTGAAATTGTACCACGAACAGCTACAGACGTCAAGTTTAGGGAATCCATACTCATTGGGATTACAAAATTGAATCTTGCCCAAGTGAGGGAATTCATAGCTAAAAATGAAGACAACTATAAGGGTGATGATTATGACGTACTTGAGAAGAACTGCAACCATTTCTCCAACGACCTATGTTACAAGCTTACCGGGCAGAAAATCCCAAGCTGGGTGAACCGGCTTGCAAAGCTAGGTATAACATTCACCATTCAGTCAATATATATTCGAATTGATATTACATTTTATACTTTGTCCTATTTTACCTTTTTCGCTTGTCCCATTCAGATTGTCACTTACCATATTGGGTAATATTTGGGTGGTCAAAATTCATTCTTACTTTATTCTCACTTTATCAATTCAATAACAACCATACAATTTCACTTTTTCTTAAAAGTTTTGCCACACCCTCTTGTCACAAACACAGTAAGACACAGGTAGTACTTCGTATATGTTAGAGACCGTTTGGTATGGGTGATTTAAACAAAACCACTCTGTACACATATATTTGTTCGAGTCCCATTTCATTTATATTCTTAGATTAGTTTATTTTTGGCATAAACATCACTTGATCATAGAGTATTTTCTTTGCCTCACTTAGGTTCGACGTTGAAGTGTGTGCATTGATGACAAAACACTCTGTAAAGGAAACGTGAACCCGCCGCTCTACATTACCAATTCACGCAGTTGTGTGATTTAATATGCTTGTGTATCGAATGCTTAAAAAGAGCATGCAATAACAACACTCTCTTATGATCATATGTATGATAAACTATCTAAGGGCATACTTCTATATATAGCCATTAAGGGCAGTACACACTACAATGCAATGACCAATATATGAGAGTATCATTACATGCGTTGAGAATAAGCCAAATGAGGAGTGTATTATTAGCTTCTTGATTTTAATATGCTGAGGATAAGCCTATGTTGATCTAAATCATAAATGTCAAGTTGAGCTTTTCGTTGAGAGGGATCGCTACAGGGGAGGATCTATGTACGGGCTATGGTAGGCTGAAGCTCAGGGCAACTTAGAAAATTTTCAATTTTTTTAGTGTGAATTTTTTCATTTTTCACATTTAGCCCACTCATCTAATATTTAAGCCTAGTATAATTCTTATTCAGCCCAGGACATCTCAGATTCCTGGATCCGCCCCTAGATCGCTAGCTTCCTGTATAACAATATGCTACCTCTGTCCACTCTCCTCTTTGACCTTTGAAATCAAAAAATATGAAACTTTGACTAATAAATTATTTTTTGAACAAAACAATTGATTGATAAGAAAGTAATATAAAAATGTGAGAAAATGGTCAAATTGGCCCTCGAACTTACATAAAAAGGTCAAAGTCGGCCGGGAAGGCCCGCTGATAGGCAAGTTCGGACGGGGCTTCCCGTCGGAACTACCTGAGGTAATTATTCCTCTATGCGGAGTCTCATTTAATCATCAATAATATTCCTTTGATAACTATTGTTAAAAAGCACATAGTAAAAATTATATATATATATATATATATATATATATATATATATATATATATATATATATATATATATATATATATATATATATATAGTAATTATATATGTAGGGAGGTTCAAATACAAAGTAGTCCTTATATGAAAAATGAGAAGTAATTGTAACCAATAAAATGAATAAATGAGTGGGTTACATCAATTTTAAAGTGAAAAACGTGGTGGCGAAAGTGTAATATTAGAATATTTTATGAAACATAAAGTGATAAAGAGTGCTGGATCGGCGTTGAGTACAAAGAACCGGGGCAGAACGAAGTCGAAGTCCAAGTCAAATCGGGATAGATCAAGATCCAAATCCAAGTCAAACAACAAAGGCAAGAAGGACAGAAGTCAGACAAAGTGCTGGAATTGTGAGGAGTACGGACACTTCAAGAGCCAGTGCAAGGAGCAGATCAAGGATCAGAAGGAGAAGACATCCGCCAATGCAGCGGCAGAATCATCTGGCGATGATCTCCTGATCCTGAGCGTGAGCAGTCCGTTGGAGTCATGGATTCTGGATTATGGATTCTGGAGATTCGTTCCATTCGTGTGGTAATGTTGAAGTGATGGAACAGTATACTCCCGGCAATTTTGGAGAGGTGTATCTTGCTGATGATGAGCCTCTTAAAATTGTCGGAAAGGGTACAGTCCACGTGAAGACTCCGAACGGTTGCATGCTGAAACTGAATGGTGTCCGACACATTCCTGGTTTGAGGAGAAATATACTTTCAGTTAGGGAGATGGATGAGGAAGGCTATATAGTTACATTCGACAGCAGAAACTGGAAGATCACCAAAGGAGCCTTGTTGATTGCTAAAGGGAAGACGGAGGGTACGTTGTACATGACACCGAACTCGAAGGATTGCATTGATGTTGCTGCCGCTGCAACAAACGATGTGAATTTGTGGCACTATCGGCTTGGTCACATGAGCGAAAAGGGGATGAAGGAGTTGTGCTCGAAGAGCAAACTGTCCGGCCTGAAGACCGTAGAGGTTGGCTTATGCGAGGATTGCATATTAGGGAAACAGAAACGTGTCAGTTTCTCGAAGGGGAGAAGATCTATTAAACCGGAGAAGCTGGAACTAGTTCACACCGACCTTTGGGGACCTGCAGAAGTTACATTCTTAGGAGGATCCTTGGTACTTGAAGTTGAAGGTTGGCGCTACCATGCTAACAAGAGAGGATTTGAAGAAGACAGTCTCAAGGTGGGTGATTGTAAGGTGTTAGAGACTGTATAATCAAAGATTTTCTTAATTTATTTTTGGAAATAAGTTTCTTAATTTATTTTTAGAAACACATCCTACTTGCCTTGGGGTTAGGTTTTACTTCTCTATAAATACAGGCTCTCTCCCTTGTAATCATGTATGGATCCGAAAATAGCAATAATATTCCTGACTTGGTAGCGCCCCAGACTTACTCATTCGTAGCGAACTGGATTACCAAATTTTCGTGTGTTTTTCTTATTATTCATCGTGTGCGTCACTTTAATTAATAACACCCAATTCTCTAGTGCATGCGTTTGTCCACCCCGTTGGTTAAGTTCCCGACTTTAATCTTCAATTCGAATATCAAGCTCATTGTATCAGGAGGGAGTTTTCTAATATAAGCTTCAATTCAACTATGATTCTCTTCGATTTGGGGCTTTATGCTAACTACATTTTTTATGAGGGTTTTCATTTTCCCTCTATTATTAGCCTTAACACTAATAATAAAAAAACACTTAGTTGAAGAATGAAGAGTGACCCAATAACCTAATGTGGTTGTCGAAGACCATGGCAAACACCGATAGTCCGACAATGTCATTGAAGTTTTGATGGTTATCGAAGCTAAGATAGTGGCTACTGGAGAGTCTGGAGTTATGGCAATGTAGGTCACTGGAGACCTTATAATAGCGGACACCAGAGTATTATCGGAGGCGGAGGTTGCTACATCTTTAGCTTCCACCGGCTTAGCGTTTGCAAAATTGAGCTGAAGTCTAGTACTCGATTCAGAGATTATTATTCGGAGCAGGGGCGGAGCTACTGAGGGGTCAGGGTGGTCAGCCGACCCTGCTGAAAATTTAAGAGTGTAGAGCTCTGAAATATCTTTGATTTAATATATTATCTCTCACGTAACTCATTATGAGTAAAAAGTTATGACTTCTGCAAAATCAGCACTATTTAAGTTTGAAATTAGTAAAATTGTGATGAGTAATATTAATTATATTCACAAAATAGCGTGTAATTCACTCGTTACTTACGTGACATGACTTAGGGACAGAGCAAAGACAACATATCTTACTGCTACGAGTGCCTACTCAACAAATGATTCTTTTCCAAGTAAGAAATTTTGATACTAAATCGAGTAAGATCGAAGAGAACCATAGTGTACTAGGGTAAGACAATGGGTCTCATCCAAGGTACTCAACTCAGCCCGTATAAAACTAGTTTATAATATATGTGACATATACGAAGTATATTAACTGCATATACTCTATTAGTTTCATTTAAACTATCATTTATCTAAGCTACATTGAATTCGGGTATTGTCTAAAAAAAGCTACCGTTTTGATTCAATGTAAATTTGATTTCGATCCCGCTGAGTCATTTTTCTGGCTCCGCCCCTTATTCAGAGTGATATAGAAGTGGTCGAAACTTAAATGCAATTGAATAAAGCATGTTTGACTACACAAGTGAAATATCTTACAAATGTAAGATTACAATAGAAATACATGTTTTAGATAAATTTTAATCATGAGAGGGTAAAATTGACATAAAGTTGTACGTGGTAAATCGACACAATTAAATCTAGCTTTAATGCAAACAATTGTCATTTAATTATCTCAATTTATCAAAATGTAAATGATTTTTTCAATCTAAGAAGTTGTATTATTCGCTTAATCTGAATGTTTCTCATCTGAATTTTTAAGATCCAACTTGGTGTGAATTTTTCTAATATAACCTGAATTTGTCCTATCTGAATATTTCCAATCTAATTTGATTTTATTTGATTTTTCAGATGTGATTTGACGTAACTCTTTTGGATCTAAAATTTTCTAATAATCACTAATTTATTAATCTCGCTTCAACAATTTCCACTAAAAAGGTAAAAAACTCCTAAATTTTATCTCGAAGTATATTCCGTCCCGCTAAGATGGTTCCATTTTATCTTTTCAGAAAGTTCACTAAGATTGTCCCATACCAAATTTAGTAAAGTTTGTATAACTCTAAAATATTCTTACTCTATTTTTACTTTTTCAATTTAATATGAACCACATAAACTCACTTTTCTTAATAATCATGTCACTTTTTTCCGTCCAATGTCAGAATGTCAATGAGACCGAGGTAATAAAATCTAAATATAAAGGACCTTTTTACAAAATACGTAGTATGAGTCATTACTCATTATTACTCGGTCTCTTCAGATACACTCTTCCCTTATTTTTCCTTCTTTTTCTTGCCTGATACGGTGATACCCCCACCCCACCCCACCCCCACCCCCACCCCGACAGACACACACTCCCATCTCTGGCAGCAGTGAAGTTCTGCCACATAGCTTCACGGAGTATATGCTTGTCTGCTAATCGAATTGAGCCGTCTTCACCGTTTCAGAGTTCATCGGAGTTTTGTCAAGTCTGCTTGTTCTATATAGCTCAGTGAAAGATACCATGAAAGACTGTTTGTCCCCCTATTCTCTCGCCTAGCAAGAATTGATTCGTCTTTTCCCATTTCTCAAGAGAAGCTCAAATCCTCATACTTGAGCTCTCTTCTGCTGATGGAAATATGTAAGTTTACCATTTCCCTTATTTGTTCTGTTTTCTGTATGCTAGCACCACTGAGTTTTTGGCCTTCTGCTAAAAAGATCTCATTTTCGCTTACGAGATCTGATAGAATTATGGTTTTGAAGCTCAGTTTTTCTTCTGTTCTGTTTGTTGTGAATTTCTCTTGTTATCAAGATTTCAGATATGGGTTCAAATTCTACTGTTAATTAATGATACAATTAGCTAGTTTTCTTCTTTCATCAACAGTGTAGTTTTCAATAGTCAACATTAGGGTTCGGTCTGTTTCACATCTTAAGCTGAGCAGGCCTTACTAGTTTCGAGCTATGCTTCATCATTATTTGCAGATCTAGATGCTGTAAAAAAATTAATGTACTTGAATTAAAGAGCAAAGCAAAATGACTATATTTTAGCAATGTGATTGAGCTATAATTCTATTAATGACATTCAAGTACTTGTAGATTGTACTCTGTATTAAATATCGCTTAATGTTTCAATAATGTCATTTCTATACATAAAAGCATGCTACATTTTAGTCAAAAGTATTGGGAACATACCTGAATAATTGAGTATCTTATACTCCATATTTATTATATCAGGAGATATGTCTTATTCAATAGCAACTTCCTTTATAAGAATTCTACTCTATAATTTTACACACCTTAGGATTGTATCTATATGTGCAACCTCCTTCAAGCCTTGTACAATTCATAATTCAATACACAACACGTTATTGTCAGATTCTCAACAAAAGGTGTTAATGGTAAAGGAGAGCTGCCAAAGTATTACACTAGTAAGCCTTACATGCGTTGGGAGTTGTTTTTTCCTTTGATGTTGGAATGCTATAAGATTATGAAAACATAAATTATTCTTCATATTTAAGTGGTTAACTAAAAGAAACTTGTTAAATAAGAGAAATATCTGAATCATTTGGATTACCTATGGTATTCCAATGGTGTTTCTCTTTCTTATAAGGTAATTGCACTTTTAGATTTTAATGCACACTAGTACTGGTTTAGTAATTACTCCATCATTTTTGTAAAGGTTTACAAGAATTCAAGTTGGCCTTGACCTTCCTTGAGTTGGACTTCCTTCATTGAAATCGCAATGAAACTAAAGCTAAAGAAGGGACGGAAATCAATTTTGCCACTGCATTTCAAAGGCAAAGGGGCAAGCAACTTCTGCTTCCTTCCAATTCCAAAAGCAAAACAGACAGATAGTTATGGCCCTGGTGACACCCCCGTTTATCTTAACGTGTATGACTTGACACCTATGAATGGTTATGTCTACTGGGCAGGCTTTGGCATCTTTCATTCTGGAGTGGAAGGTAAAGTGACAATTATATAGCTTTGTAGAGTCTGTTTGCAACTCGTAAAAGGCTAGCCAAAGAAATTTAGAGTGAAAATAAAAGAGATATTTGGAAGGGAAATGTAAGTAGTAATTAAAGATTTTTCAAACTCAAATTATTTTTTATATTTCTTCAAGCTCATTTTATTTTATCTATTTCTTTTATATCATCATCATCATTACCCCAGTGACGCAAAGGCTCCCACCTTCGGTAGGGTAAGGGGGGGGGGTCTGATGTACGCAGTCTTACCCCTGTACTAAAGCAAAGCACCGAGAGACTGTTTCTTGATGACATATATTTCTTTTATATAAAGATAAAAAAATCTAAGCGTATGTAAACAATTCAAGAACATTTACCATATTTCGTTTTCCTTTGTATTTTCCAATTCAAATCCAAACACAAGTCAGCTTTGTTATCATTCCCCCCCTATTCCCTTGCATTTTCTGGGATTCAAACATGCTCTTATGCTTCATTAATTTTGTTTCCTTTTTCTACAATGGTTTGCACTTTCAGTGCATGGTGTAGAGTATGCATATGGAGCTCATGACTATCCAACTAGTGGAGTGTTTGAAGTTGAACCACAACAATGTCCAGGCTTCAAGTTTAGGAAATCTATATTCATTGGGACTACAAAGTTGAATCATACCCAAGTGAGGGAGTTTATAGAGCGTCAATCCGCCAGCTATAACGGCGACACTTATCACCTTATTGTGAAAAACTGCAACCATTTCTGCAATGACATATGTTACAAGCTTACCGGAAAGAAAATCCCAAACTGGGTCAATCGACTTGCGAAGCTAGGTATACCATATTACCATTCCCCATTAAGTCAATATATTTTCCGATTGAAGGTTTTATTTTTTTGAACTGCTTGGTAAGGTCAACCTTATAGAGGTCTGGTCAAGGGTCTTATACGTGGTTTGTATGTTGATGTTTTGCCACATGAGGGGCTTATGAACTTTTGACGTGGTCATTTTGTTTAAAATGATTTTACTAAATACTTTTCCTTCAAACAATTAATTTTGTTAGCCATTTCAGCAAAATCACCCTAACCTAAAAGACCCTTAGCGATAAGAAAAGTGTTTGGTAATTTCCATATCAATCACACAAGTCAAACCTATTTGTTTTGCTGATAAAAGGAATAAGATGAACTGCTGATCTTTGGCTACCAAACAGAGCCTTTGAGATGCCTTCCCTGATTGGAGTTTTTTCTTTGGTTCGCTTAGGTTCGACGTTCAACTTTGTGTTACCTGAAGCACTAAGGATTGCTGCTGTGCAACATGACCCTAATAGCCAAGAATGCAAGAGTGAGAAGAGAAGGTTAAGAAGTGCATTTGGTTGTCTTTCTTCAATTTCAACTAGGCAAAGACATCTCTCAACATCTTCACTATTCCTACAGTCTCCCTTAAGAGGCTGCATACCTTCTTCATGGGAACTTAGACGGTCAACCAACCGCTCTCTAAAGGAAAGGTGAACAACATAAGTATACCAATTCAGAAGGTTTTTTATGTCTGTATTTTCATGTAGTTGTGTGGTATAATTTGGTGATATATTAAATGTTTCATTGCTTAAAAAAGTAATAAATAACCGACTTCTTTCTTACAATGGGAATGCAATAACAACTAGCTCTTGTGTATGATAAAACAATCATTAGGTTTCTCCCCAGAAAAAGCGATACTATTCTTCTTTGTGATGATCGTTAACAGTGCACGTGCTTCTATAATCATTAAGGGCACTAAGATATTCTCGCTTTTCTGCTAATCCACTATCCGAGAGTATCAGACTTCCCTGCATTGAGAATAAGCCTAATGAGGAGTATATTCTTGATTTTATTATGTTGAGATGTAAATCATGTAATAATATAAATAGTAAGTGTCTGGTCCAGCTATTAGTTTTAGCTTTTTAGTTGAGGTGGATCACTTTATGTACTACATTACACTACCTCTGACCGTATTTGACTCTTTCGGCCAAAGATGTTAAACATTGACAAAGAATATATATTTTTTTATACAAAACGGTTTATGATATGAAAGCAGTATGAAGATGGTGTGCTTCAAAAGTACAAAACCTAATTTTTTTTATTGAAATATATTACTCCATATCGGTTAACACAACACTATGTAGGACTTCATCAGGTGTTAGATAATTCCTACTCCGTAATATTTATGTGAGAAGGTAGCTAGTTTCACCTTGGTAAACAAACATACCTCATGAGCCATAAATCTGCGCACATTATCTGCATATAGTTTAGGATCTTCCTTTTCTTGTTGTGAGGGATAGTATATCGGTAACCAGGTCACTTCCATACAATTTACAAACTGACAGAGAAGGAGAATCAAATGCCTAGCCTGGAAGTAAGATGACATCCCAAACTGTCATGTTAATTGATCAGTTGTAGAAGACAAAAAGGATCAACAATATTTACAGAAATACCCCTGATATGGATTCCCAGGCAGGGCTAAGTCTCCGGTACGGGTATCGTATGATGACAGGATGGACTGGAGCTTTTGACACAAATGCACCGGTTTTGAAGGGAAGCAGAAAGTCTCCATTTGTTGTTGTACCTTCTGTGTTGTTTTTAAAAGTTATTTAATAAAAAATCAGCAGACTGCAAATTAAATGAAAAGGACTGCAATTCTTTATGAATGTAGATAGGGGTGGACCCAGTCCTGTCTCGGACTGAGTGGTCCCGGTCATTGGTTTGAAAAGCCCATATCTGATAGGGTTATATCCGGGTCTGGGCTGGTTCCAGGTACCCGGGCGGTCCGGTCCCGTTCTATTTTTTCCAAAGCTATAAAAACAAATTTGCCAGTCCGGGACCCCGGGTACCCTCTTGGGCGGACACTGGACAGGCCGAGCTCAGGCCTGAAACCCGAAATTCTGGATCCAGTCTGATTGCTAACAGTGGCAACTTGGTTCTGGACCGGGTCTGACCGCCGGACCGGGTCCACCACTAAATGTAGATATATATATGGCTGGAATAATTAAAAAAAATAGGAGTTTGTTTGACCTGGAAAAATTATAACCATGGGGGAAAGCTTGTTTTGATAAGCTTCTTGTATTCTTTGGTTTACTGCACCTGCAAGTTGCAACCAAAAGAATAGCAAATAGTTTTAGGTAATACTGAGTAATACTCCGTACTTAGAGGGTGTTTGGTAAATGACTAATAAACCGATTTAGCAGTTTTTTCTATTGACTTTGGTTGTTTGACATAATCATAAATAATGGTGGACTCGGGCCAGGTGGCCCGACCCGGAACTGGCCCGGCCCGGCACTGTTCTGGCCCGGTGGCCCGGTTAGTGACCGGTCCGGGTAGGCCCGACCTGCGGGGGGTCCGGTCCGGGCTCGGGCCCCCCAAATCACGAACCGGCCTGGCCGGTTCGGGCCCGGTTCCGGGCCTTTTTAATTTTTTTTTTTCAATTTTTTTACTTTTTGGGTTGGGCTTGGTATTTTGGGCCATTTGGGGTGGTTTGGGGGTGAGGGAAAGGGTTGGGGGTTAACTAGGAAAAGAGAAAAAAAATAACTAAGGCCCGAGGCCCGGCCCGGTCCGACCCGGAACCGGGGATTACCCGGGCCGGTTTCGGGCCCCCCATTCCTGAACCGGAGGCCTGACCGAGCCTAGGCCCGGCCCGGGCCCGAACCAGCCCGAGTCCACGACTAATCATAAATCATACTCCTTTTTCATTGCAGTTTTGTGAGTGTTTCAAAAGCCTACTTTACCATCAAACTTTACCTCTATCGTTAATATATAACAATTCTTCAAAAATAAAAGTAATGGTTTAATGTAATAAAAATAATAATGACAATACAATATCAATAACAAGAAATTCATGATGGATACTGCCCCTATTTGGAATTCATAATATAATTTAAAAACCAGTAAAACAATCTAAAATAGTACTATGTATTTATGTTACTCCCTCCGTCCCGGAAAATTGTTCCCGCATTGACTTGGAACGGAGTTTAAAAAAGTGGGAATAAAGTGGAAATGTATGGTTGTGGTTGAGTAAGAAAAATGTAAATGAATTGTAGCCACAAAAAACTTTCCAAAAGGAGAAAGGAGAACAATTTTTTGGGACGGCCCAAAAAGGAAACAAGAAACAATTTTCAGCGACGGAGGGAGTATTTAATATTATAATGATACTAAAAATAAACCAAAATATATATGTGCATTAAAATAATAATAATAATTGCAATAATTTTTAAAAACAATAGTAAATGGAATTTCATTTTTTCCAGAAACTATCAAAGAGATCTTTAAAGTAAAGTCAAACATACACAAAGTTTAAATATTTATGTCTGTATTGGTTATTTTACATCTTAGCAACTAATCACATACAATTACATTATCAAACATCTTACTTTAATTCGTTAATGATGATAGTTAGTTAATACATCTTAGCTACCGTTGTTTGCTAGAGTGAAGGCTGTTTAGCTGTTCCAAATTTAGGAGGTCTTTGTGGATTAACAATAATGCTGATTAAAATATCTACACTTTGTGGATTAACAATAATGCATAATTTCAATTTTAAATTATTTTTATTTACTTTTTAATATCAATATTATATGTTCATATATAAAATATCATATTGGAATTTTTAAACAAATACAATAAAAGAGCTTATGTACATTCTCTATACCCTAATTTCTAAATTTAAGTCCTTTCAGAGGCCCAATATTGTTGAACACCCTCCTAAGTCCTAATAGATGACTCAATTAGCCGTAGATGACATCAAATTAAAGGGATTGTGGATCTATAATTAATGGATCCGGAGCCTCTATCTTGCTTTAGAATAAGCACACGGTGCCTAATCTTTGGAAGCCGCCTGATAAATATTTCAAAATGATCGAAGGTCCACATCTCAAAATTAAAGGGATTATGGGTCTATAATTAATGGATCCGGAGCCTGTGTTTTGCTTTAGAATAAGCACAGGGTGCCTAATCTTTGGAAGCCGCCCAATAAATATTTCAAAATGATCGAAGGTCCAATCACAAGACCTCATTTTATTTCATTTGATCTTCCCTGTGCCGCACGGGAGAGGATCTCAATCCATAATTAACATGTTACCTGAGACACCTTTGAGGTCCGGCGACTTGGATTCTCGCTCCACGTAGATACATCCAAGGCATTTGCTGTGCAAGGGAAAAATGCTTTTAAAGCTAATATACCAAACCAAATTATATAGCTAATGCCCAATGATTGAAGCAACGCTAAGAACCTGATTAGGCCGACAAGAGGAAGGTTAGCCACCGATTTCTTCATGTTTTATTCATCATCAGGTTGAAAAATAAAAGAAATTAGTATAGCAAAGAAGTCAAATTGTGAATACATATGGATTTTGAATCAAATCAAAAGTTTTATACTAACAAGAAAATAAGAGTGAATAAAGTGCATGAGATTTGAAGTCTACTAACTTTCTAATGACGAAGTGTAGATAAAATCCTAATTAAACTACGTATACTAACTTATTGCTTTCATGCTCTATCTTTTGGTTTATTATTTGAGGATCTGGAGCCTCTGCCTTGCTTTAGAGCAAGGTAGAGTGCCTTGCTTCCGGACAGCCGTCCGATAGCAAATTCAACGGCCTGTAGATCTTTGGGTCCACACTTTCGCTGATCTCGAGGCCCTCCTCGTCGCTGCCCGATTGTCCGATGTGCAAGGCACCCTCGTGGTCGGCAGAGGAACCCAATCCGGCCCATTATTTGACACCTTAATTTTATGTGATGAACCCATGTTACACTTGCTTTCTTTAAAGGATCGGAACTCATAATAGCACAATAATAATAAAAATAGAAAATTACTACTCCCTCAGTCCCGCTAAAATTGTCACATATTACCTTTTCGAGAAATCCCACTAAGATTTTCTCATACCAAATTTGGTAAAATTTGTGTGACTCTAAATCATTTTTACTTTATTTTTAATTTATCAATTTAATATCAACCACACAAATCCACTTTTTTAAATAATCGTGTCACCTTCTCTTGTTCAATCTTAGTGGGACGGAGGTAGTATTACTCATTGAGATTATGTCAGAATTACTAGTTCAATGTTGCATCTTTACACATCCATTATTTATCTCTTGCGTTTTGATTATTAGCACTGCAGTTTGCTCCTCACTTTAATTGTATCTCATTAAGTCATGGCGGATCTAGAATTAGCATTCAGGCGGGCCAAAATTATTTAAACACATATATTGCAAAAATTGTCAAAATGTAGTAATTCAGGTGGGGCCAAAATTATTTAAACACATATATTGCAAAAATTGTCAAAATGTAGTACTCCCTAAATTAATATGTATTTAACGAAATTTATTTTCATGTGCAAAGAGAAAAACAAAAACGAGAATAAATTAAATTAAGAGTTTTTGTTAAAATCAAGTAAATTAAATTAATTTTCACCTATCAAGTCAAATGAATTGAATTGGTTAATTTTCTAGGCTAATATTTGAAATTAAAGCCAAAAGCATG